TCTGCAGAGGCATGCCTTCGGATAATTAATACAGTTATTAATAGGAGAAGGTAGCTGGTGCTGCTGCTTTTGTTGTTGTGTGCCTGGTGGTTTTTAAATGGTGAATTTTAGCTGTGGGTGGTTTTTTAAATACGAGTACGTTTTTATTTGTCCTTTTAAATTGAGGTGTGTTTTAACTGATGTTATTTCTTAATGGTTGTTATCCTCAGCCTTGATCTATGGGGAGATGTGGGTAAGAAATAATAATAATAATAATAATAATAATTGCCTCTCCTCATAGTTCAAATGCTACTACTACTACTACTACTATTACTTTTTTACCTGCTTCTCCCCATAGATCAAATAATACTTATTATTATTAATAATAATATTATTTCTTACCTGCCTCTCTCCATAGATCAAATTATTGTTTTTGTTGTTTCTTACCTGCTTCTCTCCCTAGATCAAATAATAATAATAATAATAGTTTCCTGCCTCTCTCCATGGATTGAGTCGGGGGACAACAGCAACAACATCAGTTAAAACACACATCAATTAAAAAGGACAAATAAAATGTACACATATTAAAACAATCCACATCTAAAATTCAATGTTTAAAACTCATAGTTTAATAATAATAATAATAATAATATTCAAGTCCTTTCTGACTCATGGTGAACCTTTGTTAGCTATCCTCTAGTCCAGGGGTAGGCAACCTTTCCCTTTTTAATGGCCGAGGGACTTCAGCTCCTAGAATCCCAGGAGCTATTGGCCAACATGGCTGAGGCTTCTGGGAGCTGAAGTCCCTTGGCCCTTAAAGGGAAAAAGGTTGCCTACCCCTGCTCTAGTCACAGCAACCCTGTGGATGAGACATGTCCAAGATCCCTTGTTTTCCACTGCTCTGCGTAGGTCCTCTAAATTCATACCTGCTGACTTCCTTAGTGGAATTCATCTGGCTTGTGGTCTTCCTCTCTTTCTCCATCCCTCCACCTTTCATAACATTGGGGCTAAGCAGACGGGTGGCCATGGGCTGCCCCGGGAAGCTGCGCCACGGGCCAAGGTATTCCCACACCTCGGCCCAGCAGCGCAGCTTTGCCGCCCCTGGAAGGAGCGCTAAAATAGCGCTCCTTCC